AGAAAAAAAACAGTATTTTTAAATTAAAATACACTGATAAAGTGTTTGGCTAAATAACTGGGCACCGATGCCTTGCCACATTGACTCTTATTAATAGTAACTACCACAATGCCATCCCAAGGCAGGATCCTCAGCCTTCATTTATTCTCTCTCACGCTCTCCTGCTTCATTCAACCACAGTAACAGTCCTAGGATTTGAGAAAATTCGGCAGTACTTAGTCTATTCACACATGTGTTATTTCAGTAGAAGAATTTTTTGTGTGTGAAAATAAAGGACCATGTCTCCCGTTCTAGATCCAAAGCCCTCCTGAGGTTATACAGTGTCTCAGCGCTGACCAGTCCACCATGGCCCCTGGGCTCCAGGATCACTCTAGAATTCTAATTTAGAGGATGCTGCACTTATATTCTGTGGGATACAATACAATGTTTTGATATTTGTTGACATTGTAGGTTGATTAAATCGAGTCAGTTTTTAAATTCCATCATCTTGGGGCCAGCACGTGGCATGGTGATTATGACACTGGGCTCCCACCTGGGTGACCACAGTTCAAGTCCCAGACCTGGTGGCTTGCTTTCTCATTTTCCCTCTCTCTCTCTAGTCAAATTTTTTTAAAAAAAAATAATAATAATAAAGTTAAATAAAATCATTTTAAAAGGTTTTTAAAATTCTGTCACCTTGCATACTTATCTTTTTTGTGGTTAAAACATTTAAAATGAGCAGATTTGAGCAATTTTGAAATACACGATGCATTGGCATTTATTACTGTCACTGTGCAATCTATACCCAGAGATTATCCGCCCTGTCTAACCAGAGCTTCGTACCTTTGACTGACATCATCCCCTTCCCTGTAGGCTCTCCTCTCCTAGCTTCTGCTAACCACCACTCTGCCCTCTATTCTGTGTGAGTTCTACTAGAACAGCTCCCACATAGAAGTGAGACTATGCAGTATTTGTCTTTCTGTGCCTGGCTTATTTCACTTAGTCTTCCAAGTTCATCCATGTTGTTGCAAATTATAGGATTCTCTCCTTTTCTAAGGCTGAGTAGTATTCCCTTGTGTATATATGCACATATATAGCCCCAGTATATCCATCAGATAATGCTGAAGTCTTGGCAACGATAGGTTAAATATTTTAGTTGAAAGGAAATGATCTTTCACATGACTCTGGGTCCACCTTCCTATGTCCAGGTGGCACTTGGGCCTGCAATTGCTCCCTATGTGGCTGCCATTCTCCAAGGCCAAGAATTGCCCTGCCAAGACAGCTCGTCCCTGTCCTGAGTTGCTTTATCAGTCTACCTTAAACAACACTGATATGCAAGGAATTTTAAAGAGCCTGTGGGAAAATGGAGTTAAAACACGAGTTTGTTTTTGTGAAAAATTTTGAAATCTGCACATAGCTCCTTTTGTAGCATGCATTTTTGCTAAACGTTTTGAAGTCCACCCCCAGCTCTTGCATTTTAAGTGGGTCATTGAGACGTTTCCTGATGAGTTCCAGAAGTTGGACATTTTTACGACGTATGTCAGGACTTGCTCATATTCCGAGGCTCGGGGACATGCCCCCTTTGCCTTCTGGACCACAACCTTGTCGGCAAAAGCAGCTACTTGGAGAAGTGTTCTGAAGCCTTTGAAGGTGATCCTCAAACTTCCCTCTCCAGGGAGAATGTCTACTTTCTCAGTGACCAAAATCTGAATTATTAACATACAGGAAAAAATTCTGAGAACCCAGAAACAAGGGCTAGCTTTGAACTATTCCTCTTTTACTGTTGAAAATCTTTTCTACCTTGAGGCAGTTGGGACTCAGCCATCAGTTTTGATTAGCAGGATGTGGAAAGTTACTGTCATTGCTTTAGGGAGGTTTGTTCTCTTTAAACCTTATTTCCCTCTATGGTCTAAAAATAGAATTGAACCTTGTAAACCTAGCCTCATTTCAGGGTTCCATTGTGCCTATGAAATTGTCAATGTCAGTAGGCTGGTTTGCATACTACGAAGATGTAATTTTATTGTTTTTTATTTATTTCAGAGGTTTTTTCTGGTTTTGCAAGTCCCACTAAATTATAGGATATTCTAACTAACTTGATATAAACTCTTTTAAGGGTTAAAATGTGCATAGTGTTACTTCATGAAGCACTATTAGCTAAATGTGCACTGCAACCCCTAAAGAAGACCCCAGAGTACTCCAGGTAAAGTTCTGGTAGCCCCACTAAATTTACCTTAAAATTCATATTTTTAGAGACAGTGATTGGAACTGTGAGTTGCAGAGAATGTATGTACCTGAAGGATTGTCACATTGAGCCCAGACACCTGTACAGTGTACACTATTTGAAGAAATGGCAACACTGAGGCATATCAAACTTCTGGGGTGGGGGGGTGTAGAAATATAAAGTTGGAAATAGAAAAAGGAAACAGTTCCAATTCGGTGGTCACGGAAGGAAAGTGAGCCAAGAGTACAGGGTACAGGGTACAACAATGGCAGTGAAATGTCCAATGAAAAAAGGCTGCAACTTTAGGAACGTGCACCTTATTTTCTTTTTGAGACACACAATATGATCTGCGGGGAAAGTAAATACATGGGGAAATTCACAGTCCTGTGTCCCTTCTGCCATGATTCAGGAGAGGAATTCTATTCACTGGAGGAACAGCCGTGGAATGGGCTGGCTTTAAGAGTGCACCACTGACCTCAAAAAGCTTTGAGGTGAGTAAAAATACAGGCTCCTCCTGTGGTTTTCGATGGAGATAGACTCTTTCTAGTGTGCAAAAAAGAGAATAAAATGGCCAAAAATCTTTAAACCATGCTACTTCTAAAAGGAGTCACTCAATGACTTGAATTTTAAAGCTGGTAAAACCAAAACACTGAGCTAGCCAAGGTGGTTTGTTCTTTCATTTAACTGAGAGGAGAAAGTGATTCTTCTTGTTTCCGTAGTTTAACTATTGAGTTGACTTGGCTATTTTAGAAAATATTTCTACAGGTCAGCACTTCAAAAGTTAAGATGTCAAAAACAATACTAAAGCGAGAGAGCACCTCTTGTCCGTCCATTCCTGATAATTCAGTTGGTACCAAAAATCCAGAAGTTTCCTGTGCTGTGTGTGTGCCTATATATTTATATTTAATTACTTGGTAAGTGATTTAAACATTGATAAATACCTGTATTTGCATACTTAGCATATAATTTATATATTCTTAAAAAGTATTCTTTAGAAAGTTGGGATATATCTATCTGTTGGATGTATGTATACTCTCATGGTTCTCTACTACAACAGAGAGTTAGCTCAGATGAGCCAAGAGTACAGGGTACAGCTGAGCCAAGAGTACAGGGTGCAGGTGAGCCAGGAGTACAGGGTACAGCTGAGTCAAGAGCACAGGGTACAGCTGAGCCAAGAGTACAGGGTACAGCTGAGCCAGGAGTACAGGGTACAAGTGAGCCAGGAATACAGGGTACAGCTGAGCCAAGAGCACAGGGTGCAGGTGAGCCAGGAGTACAGGGTACAGGTGAGCCAGGAATACAGGGTACAGGTGAGCCAAGAGTACAGGGTACAGCTGAGCCAAGAGTACAGGGTATAGCTGAGCCAGGAGTACAGGGTACAGCTGAGCCAAGAGTACAGAGTGCAGGTGAACCAGGAGTACAGGGTACAGGTGAGCGAGGAGTATAGGGTACAGCTGATCCAAGAGTACAGGGTACAGGTGAGTCAGGACTACAAGGTACGGGTGAGCCAAGACTATAGGGTACGGGTGAGCCAAGACTACAGGGTACGGGTGAGCCAAGACTACAGGGTACGGGTGAGCCAAGACTACAGGGTACAAGGGAGCCAAGACTACAGGGTACAAGGGAGCCAAAACTACAGGGTATGGGTGAGCCAAGAGTACAGGGTACAGGTGAGCCAAGACTACAGGGTACAGGTGAGACATGACTACAGGGTACAGGTGAGCCAAGCGTACAGGGTACAAGTGAGCCAAGACTACAGAGTGCAGGTGAGCCAAGGCTGGTTTTTATTAATCACAATTCCTAGCCCATGACCATCACAGGGCCATCTCTGATCTTGTAGCTCTTGAAAGTCATTCTTCAAGTATGAATTTTGAAGACCTAATCCTTGCGATGGTCTCTCCTCTTCCTACATCTCCCATGGACTACCCACTCATTCATTTGTCTATTCATTTTTCCTCTTTATCCAGTTAGTCTTTACTGAGTACCCACCGGGCCTCAGCAGTACTCTAGATAGGAATTCTTGGTGCAGTGGTGGACAAAACTTTCCATCCACATAACACTAGAACCTTTCGTTTTTCTTCCACTCTGTATTGTTACCATCTCAAAGTATCATTACCACCACCACCAATATTTTTTTTCCTCATTTTCTTCTGTCATTTACCTTTGGCTTTATAGACATCAATGAAAGCCAAGTTCATATTTGGGATCAGCATTATAACTTTAGCTACCAGTTTTATTGTTTGATGGGTATGTGTCTTAAAGCCAATGCACTAAAATTTGGACTCAACAATACTTCAACAGTTCAGTCCTTAAAATCACTTCACATAAATCCCTAACAACATGCAAATATTCCTTTGAAAAAGATTTTTTCTATTACTGTAATATTTTATTTTCTGATAGACTTGGGGAGAATAAGCAAATACAAAGACCCTACTGTTATCTTTTCCAATGAGCACATTTCTGCAAAAATGTTTTTACAAAGATCGAGTTTGGGTGCAGATTCGGAACTCCTGCTTGGAGTCGGACAGTTCGGACACATTAGAGAGAAACCGGCACTGGGTCCTCCTGAATGTCGTTACCTTTCGTTTACATTTATTTAAATACATTGTTGCTCTCTCCAAAACATGCATTTCTCCTGTTGACTTCTATTAACAGTAAAGTAAACCCCAAAGGCCAGAGAGTTGGAGATTTATAATGCCTTCTGGGAGCCTCGCTTACTTCTCCACCTCCCATTTTGACGTTGTCAAATATTAGTCTTGGCAGGATGGCAGAGGCTGTCAGTAGCCGCTCAGCAGCTTGATGGCTTCCCGTTACCCTTGTCCAGCGATGGCAGAGTTATAGAATCTGCCCTCGTCACTGAGAAAGAACAGATCCATCAAGCTGACTCCTTCAATTGTGCTGGACATAAATGATGTGGCACATTCGGGCCAATACAGGCTTGGTGACAAGGGCATGAGGGGAGAAGAAAGGCAGCCCGGGAGGTTCTGCAGAGCTCACACCACCAAGGGCATCAGGTAAGATGTCTCGGGGGTGTGTTCCCTGGCCAATTTATAATAGAGATTGCTGTACTGGATTTCTTTCCCTGCAATAGCTCTACCAACTTTCAAACTTGTTTTCACTCAGAGGAGACCAACTTTCAGGCCATCCAATAAAGAAGCCACCACCCAATGTCCTTCAAAGCAGAATAGAACTTAGTATTTCCACTAAAGTATGCTTCTTTGCTTCTCTATATTATTCCAGATAGAATAGATCTATTTTTAGAAATTTGCAGCATCATTGTGCCAGAAAAATATAGTCTTTAAAAGATTATGTTAAATGATACAATTGGGCTGGCTCTATGGCCTAGTAGTCAAGGCAGTGGATCCCACATGGTCAATGACATTGTTCAAGTCCCAGATCTGGCAGCTTGAGAAGTATGCTGGGCACATGTGAGTGGGTGCCCAAAATCCCAAAAGGAAGGCTACATAGAGAAGAAAGGATTGTGGCGTGACCATTCTCCATGCGGGGATGCTTTCTCTGTCTCTCCATCTCTCTCTGTCTCTCACATGCACCCTCTAGCAAAAATACAGTAAAGTGGAAATTCACACACACTGCTTATGGAAACATGAGTTGATGTAATGACTGTAGAAGATAATTTTTTCTTCTAAGGCAAAAGCCATTAAAGAGATTCAATGCCTTTTGATAGGGGAATTTTATTTTCAGGAAGGCATGAGTGCTAATTTTTTTTCTCCTTTTTTTTACGTGTTGTAAGTTGTTGTTGCTGTTATTGTTGTTTTCCTCAGACATGGAGCTCCCTTGAGGATAAATAATAAAATGCCAGTCCATTTGTTGAAAAGTGAAGCCCTCCACTATGTGCTAGTGACAGAAATCTCAAAAAACTAAGGGGCAAAAATGCTCCTTTTTCTTTAAAGCTCAAGGAATTAACACTGTTCCCTGACATATTGTGTTTCCAATAAACTAGGAAAAATTGAGAACACATGTGGAATTTCGGTTCTCATTCTCTGTCTGCTGCACAGCCTAGTGCGTGGTCCCCTTCTGTTTCTGATGTGGAAATTGCCCCTGAAAGCGTTTTGTGAATCAGGGACAGGAAGCCCGCGGAAGAGCCGTGACATCATGGAAACATGACCAGCAGCACGGAGTCTGCAGGTCTCGGGGCTTACATAACACCACCCTGATTAGAGACTAGAAACTCCCACCCCGGTTTTCTGAAAAGGGCAAATACTTTTGAATTTTCTCTGGTAAACCACAAAAAAAAAAAAAAAGCTCACTCTTCCATTCCTACATGGTGGAGTATATTAACTCACATCTCGGTAGGACATGACACTTAAATGTGTCAGAGTCCTTTCTATAAAGATTGACATTCATAGTATTCTAAGGAGTTAGAAATTTTTTTTTTTTGGAGAGATTTTCACTGTAGGGCGCGTGCGCTCGCCAGACAGACAGAGAGAGACATAGAGACAGAAAGCGAGAAATCACCCCCCAGGGGGGATGGTCACGCTGCAATCCCCTCTCCTCCATTCTCCTCTCGGGATCTTGGGCACGCACGCACACGTGCCCGGCGTGAGTTTTAAGCCACCGGGTCCGGGACACGAACCGCGGTCGACTACGTGGGAGTCCAGTGACATAGCCATTATGCTAACTGCTGGTTCCCAGGAGTTAGAAATTTTTATGAAAAATTTCTTGTGCCCAGGAATGCTTTTGGGTGTTATTGATAATTGCTAAGAAAATCAAAAACAGTCTTGAAGGGCACAGGACACTTTGAGCATTGTCAGGTCAAGCACATCCCTGCCTACAGAAGCTGAGCAATTAAGCCATACTTTTCATTTTATTGGAAATGTGCCATATGTCAAGAGAAAATGAAATAGGATAGAAAAGTCTGAACATAATCAGAGAAACGGTTTAACACTCTGTATGTGCATCGTGGTGGTCGTTATGAGAACAGACTGAGCGAGGTGGGTTTTGCCTTTATATTCCTTTGAGTATCTACTGCAGGGGTCCAGCCTCGGCGTGGGTGGGTTATCTCGACGAAGGCGGCGAAGGTGAACAGAAGACAGAGGCCTCGATGCCTTTCATGCATGTCCTATGCCGGACACCCCTCAGAGGTCGCCCTCTGAGGAGTGACGACTGCTAGGAATCATCGTGCGTTTTTATTGAAAACGTGTTACATGCAAGTAAAGGGAGAGGGGCTAGTGTTTCAATTAACAGCTCATAAAGTTTTTAACAATAAAGAACAAAGATTCTATTCAGGGTTGGATTAAAGGTGGGTCTAGTGCAATTGCAGGAGCCATCTTGTAATTACTAAAAATGGTGCTGAGAAAAGAAAATCTCAAGAATAGATATTAGTTCTTATGGATCTTAATAAAGAATGATATTTATATAGTTTTGTAGGGATCTAAGACTTAATTTGAGGAATCCTAATATATTTATCTATTTCACTTAGAGAGGGCAGAGGTGTCCTGGGCCAATTTTGGCCTAATCCTATTTTACATAAAGGAAGGAAGAATTAAAGGGCCTTCCAAAGGTCAAAATTACTTTTGCCTAAAAAAAACTTCAGCCCACCCTCTATTGTGACCATAGAGGTAAAGCATTATAATTAATAGTAAGTAATCAGAGCAAAGGGGAGCTGTCGGTTGGGGGACTTCCTAAAAGATTTTATCATATACTCAGGATGTATAGGAGAGCTATACAATTCTTTCATAGTAGTAAATTGGAGAGTCAGAGGGGGGTCGCTTCCCAGTGAGGCTGCCTCAATTCTCTAGAGCAAATAGCAGGCAGCCTTGCTGACATGCCAACTAACCCAAGCTTTGTTCCAAGGTCGGGGGGTTCACAACAGTGGCCTTGCCAACGTGTTAATACAACCGAAAGCGAAGCTTAAAGGTCGGGGGGCTCAGACAAATCCTGGGGCCTCACCGGGTCGGACTCCTCCAATCTACTTCTTTCTTTTACAATGAATGTGATTATCCACAATTAGGAAAAAATGTGAAAATACCATGAGAAAGCTCACAAAATATTTATAAGAATATTAAGACTGGGAACCAGCAGTTAGTATAATGGCTATGTCGCTGGATTCCCATGTAGTCGACTGCGGTTCGCGCCCGGACCCAGTGGCTTAGAACTCACGCCGGGCACGTGTGCGTGCGTGCCCAAGATCCCGAGAGGAGAATGGAGGAGAAGGGATTGCGGCGTGACCACCCCCCCCGGGGGGTGATTTCTCGCTTTCTGTCTCTATGTCTCTCTCTGTCTGTCTGGCGAGCGCACGCACCCTATAGCGAAAACCTCTCAAAAAAAAAAAAAAAGAAAGAAAAAAAGAATATTAAGACTGATGCATGGGATCCTCAAACTCTACCTGACTTCAGCTCTAGTTTTAAACAGTTAAAGCCTAAAGCGAGGTGAGTATACCTGTGCTGACACGAGTTTCTTCTTTCTCTAGGCTGCTATATGCTATACCGTCTTCTAAAGGAACTCTTGGTGAGAATCTGTTTTTTTCTCTTTTTTATTTTTGTCACTATATATGAAATCTGCAGATTTAAGATAAATGTTATTTTTCAAAGTGTATTTCCTTCTTTCATTATTAAAATAATCAGAACAATGAATATACCTACTGAAGACTGGAAAAGTATATAGAATTAATGGACCAAATTGTAGACCCGATGAAATCTACAACTTAGTAGTAAAGTCCTAATTTTTTAAAAGAATTGAGCAAATCATAGAAACGATGCCTAATTTTTGGAATAATTCATTAGCACTATCAAGAATTCTATGTATCATAGCAACTTAGTATTTTTCCCCTTATTTTTCATTTTGGGGCAGTTGCCATTTCTCTGGAAATCACAGTCATTTCTAGAAGCAATAATCTTGTGAACTCACTTTTCTGCCCTTAAGCCTTCAGAGCAGGTGGTGCCATTGTTCCCTGGAAGGGAGTTTTCCTGCTTCCTGGCAGAATTTGGAAGTCCAGATTTTCTCATGGAATGTCCCTGTTGCAAGTTCCACACCCACCTCATGATCAAAGGCAGTTTTTTGATCCAAGATTCCAATTTTGCTGTTTCCACCCCAGAAGGTGCATGCTTGAATGCGACTTCCCCAGGGGAGAGTAGTCCGAAGCTGAAGCCTTCAGGGGGACAGTGATGGAAGAGGCACATGTGGGTGAGGCAGGAAGCCCAGAGTGAGGCTCCCAACTGTTCTAGACTTGGGATTAAGAGATATCGAACCTCAACAAGGAGGCTTTCCCTTAAATATTTAAAAAAAAAATTACACAGGACCAGCAGATGGCATAATGGATACATCACTGGACTCGCACATAGTTGACCGTGGTTTGAGTCCCGGACCTGGCAACTTAAAACTCACACTGGGCTTGTGCACATGCATGCCCAAAATCCTGAGTGGAGAAAGGATTGCAGTGTGGCCATTCCCTCTAAAAAAAAATGTTTACAAAACTGGGACCAGCAGTTAGCATAATGGCTATGTCGCTGGACTCCCAGGTAGTCGACCATGGTTCAAGTCCTGGACCCAGTGGCTTAAACTCATGCCAGTCACGTGTGCATGTGTGCCCAAGATCCCAAGAGGAGAATGGAGAAGAAGGGATTGGGCGTGGCCATCCCCCTGGGAGGTGATTTCTCGCTTTCTGTGTCTCTGTCTCTCTCAGTCTGGTGAGTGCAAACGCCCTATAGCATAAAACCTCTCCAAAAAAATTTTTTTACAAAACTCAGTACTGGTGTGAGCAGAAACTTACATTCTCATTTGCAAGTGGTTATAAAATGCACAGAATAGAATGAAGATTTTTCAGCCACTTCACGCTTCTTGCCACGTGGTAAAAGAAAGTTGAAGCAGAAAAAAAGTAGAGATAGCTTTACAAACGTAGAGATATGATTAAGTTTACCATGAACAGAGTTTACCGTGCAACAGAGTTTACCATGAACAGAGTTTACCGTGAACAGAGCTTACCATGCACAGAGTTTACCATGAACAGAGTTTACTGTGCAACAGAGTTTACCGTGAACAGAGTTTACCGTGAACAGAGTTTACCATGAACAGAGTTTACCATGCACAGAGTTTACCATGCAACAGAGTTTACCATGCTGGGAGACCAGTAATTTTAAAATATCAGGTCTGTAGAGAAGTTCATCTTAGCTCAGGGCTACAAAAGAATCTGAAATGTTAGCTCAGAAACAAAGAGATAATAAGAAAATGCCTACTGATTTTTCTCCTATGGTTTTCACAATTTATGAATTCACATTCTTTCAGATCCCCAATTTGCTATGAACGAACAGTCAGAATGACAAAAAGCTGACCAGGTGTGCTGCTGGGATGGTCCTGTCAGCCAGATGCTGCAGTATGTCCACTGCTGAAGCAGTCAGACCTCCTAAGGACTCAGCTGTGCCCATGGGGCCACCAGGAACAGGCAAGAACCCAGAAGGGAGGTGCGATTACAAAGGAAAGTAGTCAGAGCAAGAGAAATTGCTGTGAAGTTCCGCTGACAGCCTAGACTTCAGCAATGGCATCTCTGGCCGGGTTTCTGTAAGTTACATAACAGCCCCGACCCAAAGAAGAGGGGACAGGAAGAAGGAGGTCATCAGAAAACATGAAACCAGGTCGCTGAGAGGAGAGATCCGAGCAGCTGGCCCAGGGCTACCCGTGAAAGGGTCGTGGATGCTCGTGAAAGACACAACTGGAAGACATTGTGGTAGCCGAAAAAGTTTCCCCGGACATAAACATTGTAATCCCTAGACCCTGAAAACGTCACTTGGTATGCTCACAGTGGACTCTGCAGATGTGATTAAGGACTTCGGGTGGGGAGGTCATCCTGAATTATCCCAGTGGCCCCTCCGTGTAATCTCATGTATCCTAATCAGACTCCAAGGAGAATGTCGCAGGAAGAGGCTCTGTGACTGTAGAGGCAGAGGCGGGGGGGGTGTGGCTTGGTATGCTCACAGTGGACTCTGCAGATGTGATTAAGGACTTCGGGTGGGGAGGTCATCCTGAATTATCCCAGTGGCCCCTCCGTGTAATCTCATGTATCCTAATCAGACTCCAAGGAGAATGTCGCAGGAAGAGGCTCTGTGACTGTAGAGGCAGAGGCGGGAGCGATGTGACCACGAGCCAAGGGGTGCCGGCAGCCACCAGAGCTGGAAGAAACAAGGAAGGAGTCTCCCCTAGGACCTCTGGAGGAGCTCGATTCTGCAGACACTTTGACTTTGACCCAGTGACACCAATTTCAGACTTCTGACATCCAGGACTGTGAGGAAATATATTTCTGTTACTTTAAGCCATCTAGTTGGTGACAATTTGTGACAGCAGTCATAGCAAACTAATAGGTTATCTTTGCAGCCACAGTTATTCTTAATAATTGGGGTTAATTATTGCTCTCCTCAGTGAGAGTGCAGTAATTTTCTAGTACTCCTGTCATTGATATGCACGTGTGACTTTAAAGAGTCCTTTTGTACGGTCGCTGGAATATCTGCACCAGTGAACAGCACAGTCACTAAGGATTTAAGCCCAGAGCTAGAACCCTTCAGGGCTCCCGTACTTGAAAATAAAACACAAGAACCTTGTGATTCATTGACTGATTATTTTGCAAGTCTCCAGAGGGCACCTATCAGCACATGCAAAGGGAGGCCACTGAGGGTTGCACAGGTGGCATGAGTTGGAAATTGGGCTGTCAGGAAGGGAATGGCAGCACACAGCGCCCCACTTCTAGCTGCAGAAAAGCAATAGCAACCTCAGATGTGGGGAACAGCAACCTCCCAGCAGGTCTGCCACACACGGCTCACGTGGTACCTTACGCCATGGTTCTGCCGCACACCGCTCACGCAGTATCTTACACGACGGTACTGTTGGCCCTTTGAATAGGGGGAAGCTGAGTCTCTAAGATCACACAGCTATCCCCTTCTAAGACACCCAAGCAGAAACAAGTAGAAAGACGGTTTGTCAACTCCAGAGCCAGCGCTTTCTCTTGGTTTAATTGCTCAGCCCAGCACTCAGCCCTCCTCCCAGGGCTGTCAGGACGAGAGCAATGGGTGCTACATGGGTTGTAATGGCAAAGCAGGGTCGTCACCATGAAACAGAATAGAGAGCAGCTCATACACTGAATAGATGCTGCGTTTCTGAAGTTACAGCTACTTAAAAGTAAAGCAAAAAAGCAGATAGGTACGGACAGTCCGAGTGTGTCCGTGGCTTAGTGCCCTGTGCTTGGGGGCTCCCACGTGTGTGAGGTTGGCCTGGGTGGTCCCTGCCTCACTGAAGCTCTGGCCCACTGTACCCAGCTCTTCCACAGAAGCTCGTTCTCTGTGGCACTGTGTGTACTAGCATGCCTCTCGTATTTGGAACTTTTGTTTTGAATGCTTTATTTATTTTAACCCAACTTTTTACATCTTTGACATAGGAACACTAACTTCAGAATTCTTTAGAAGTGAGGCCCTATGCTTGCAGGACTCAACTCATACATAGAGTGGCCTCTGGAGGAAGGAGGGTCCTCACACACAGAGCTCTCCAGGCCCCGAGCCTCTGCTCTGCACTTCCCTTAAATGGCCCGTCCTGTGGACCTTCCTGCTCACCCCAGATCTCTAACCAGACAGAACGTCTCCCCCACTTTAACTTCAGTCCATCTTCCACATTGCTATCAGTGTTATTTTATTTTTAAAATCTGTATTTAAAAATCCCCTTCTTTTGATCCCATACAAACTCCATAGCCTTTCAGCTTTTGGTAAGGGTCTTTCCTGAGCTCTCCCTACTCCCCGTTCCCACTCGACAGCTACAAGAGCCTGTCCCCAGCCTCCTGGATGAGGCGTACCCTCTCCTGCCTTCCTGTCTGGGCCCAGACATTGCTACTCCTTAGTCTGAGAGATCCTTCCCCAGGTACTTTGCTCAGTGGATCCCAATCTCCAAGGCTCCCCTGCAGCAGCTTCTGTGGGGAGTCCTCTCTCCCTTCTCTTGATGCCACACCACCCAGGACCTGCATGGTCGCACACACTACCCCAAGCTGTGAGGACTGGTTCGTTTCTCTTCCCACCACTGAGATCTGCTCAGGTTGTCTGTTCGTCCACTTCTCCCTCCCCACCAGCAAGGGCATTCTAAAACATTGAGCAGAAGAACCAGCAGGAGGCGTGGTGGTTAAGGCGCCAGACTCCCACATGGCAAACCATGGTGTGTGTCCTGGACCTGGTGGCTTGCTTTCTCACTTTCTCTTCTCTTCTCTCTCTCTCTCCCTCTCTCTCTCTCTCTCTCTCGTGCATGAGCCCTGCAGCAAACTAAAATAATAATGATGAATAAAATTAAATAATTCTTAAAAAACATATTGTGTAGAATAAGCACATGAATATAGAATTCACAGAAATACGGCTTCACAGGTAAGTCAGCAAGAAGCCTTCTGTGCAGAAGGTTGGGGACCTCACTCAGTATGCTGCAATGATACAGTGACTGCATGTGAAGACGAGACAAATCACAAAGGAGACCAAGGCCGGCTCATCCTCAAAGAGGGTGAACGAATAAGCCAAGTTAAAATGGCAACATGGTAGAGAATATACTGTAAGGGAAAATGAAGGTGAGAATACAGAAATATGTTGCAAATGTTTTAAGTGTATTACCACAGAAAAGGATTCATTAAGAAAAAAATATTTTTTAAGAAAAAGGGTTGGAGCTCTTAGGAAGTAAAACTAGCTTTGTTCTGAAAGTTCTCTCTGCCTCTCTAGCTACCAACACAAGCGGCATCCTGGGTTGCTTCGCTTTGGTTAAGTAGGCGGCACTTTAAACCGTAAAAGCAGCTGGCCGGCTGGAAGACAAGCAGTCGTGGCTCTTCAGCAAGTATGAATGTCCCCAGATACCAGGTTCTCACACTGAAGTCCATTTGTTTTCCCTTCATTGAAAAGGGCCCGTTTCCCTCTTTATTATGCACCTTGTGATTGGCACGAGTGGAAATGCTCACCCTTCCTCTACTCACCGCAGAACGGTGGGAGGCAAGCCTGTGTCCTGCTTTGCCTGCAGCGCGAGGTCCGCCACTGGGAAGAGGGCACACTGGCAGTGGCTCTGGAAGCACGGTTGCGTGTGCAAGTGCCTTCATACTAACTGTGTAGACTCCATGATCTCTGTGTTTAATGAGGGAAGGTTTCAAGGGTCAGAGAGTTTTGTTGGTTTGTTTTGGCCTGGCTCCTCATCTCAGTGGAGCGAGGTCTGGTTCACAGAGTCTCGTTCATTCCATGAGAACACTTTCCACTCCCTTCTTCTATCGGACAGCTAATCCTCAAGATCTTTACAAGGAATGCAACCCAGGACTAGCACAAGATAGAGGCTTTTACCTGGGTCTTGCCCTAACACAGACCCAGCCTCATGTAAACAGGTCCTGGGTGAAAGGATCTGAAGAAGAGCCAGCATTGCCTCTCCTTCCCAGTTAGGGTTAGGGAGTGTTAACGGATGGGCGAACGCTGAGCTGCGTTGTGAAGTCCTTGGTTCTTCGGGTCCAGATCACTAAAATTAGAGCTCTGTCCCTAGGTGCAAAATGAAACCGCAACTATGAACGCAGTAGGTAGAAAAGAAGATTTAATAGGGAAGAAAGGAAAGTACACCCAAAAGGCTCTTGGGTGGGCAGATTGCCAGGTGGCAACTGCGTTTGATACTGGTTAATTGTTACTTTTATTACTAGAGGTGATCATGAATATTTATTGGGGAGGTCTGTCATACTCCCTATGTCTTTCGTTTGAATTTGAATTTGCACGTTTTCTCCTGCACTTCTGCACTTTTCTCACAGGTAAGGAATGAGGAATTTGATTAACTAATTGTGCATGCCCAGTGTGAGCCAGGTTGTTTAATTAGACTATCTAATTAATTTAGGGAATTTAGGCATTGACCAAAACGCTTACTTGGGGATTAGGGTATTGACCAAAATGCTTGCTTGGGCCTTTTTGCTGAGAGAAAAATCTATGAATCATCCCTGTGTGCTTCCCTCAGGCCCCAAGGAAGGAAGATGGCAAATTGCCTCGCCCTCCTGGCACCCGGGGCTAGGTGAGCCTTTCGCTTTTCTCTTAGGGCTGCCCGCTCATGACTAACTGCCTACCACAGAAGAAGGAGTTCGGACGGAAAACCGGACCTGACAGCCTGAGTGACCCCACTCCAGCTGTCACCCTCATGCTAGAAGATCAATATTTCCCTCTCTGTTTGTATTTCCAGCTGCTCCAATTCACCCCGAGGTGTTACGGCTTTCCCCATCATTCTCAATTGAGGGCCACAACCTCTAACTCAATTTCCAAATGTCTCCTTCATTGAAGAACAGGATATTTTATTTAAAAGATTGATC